TAACAAATTTCTCCTGGCTCCTCTTCTTGATATGCATAACGATTTGGTTGCGGGATTTTCCAGAAATGTATTCTTCCAAAGCGTGGATTTTGTTTATTTGTTCACTGCACGTACCGCACATAGAAATGCCAACAAAGTTGCCCCGACTTTTATTAACACAGCATTGGAGCAGTGGTTGGTGAGAGGGAGAGAGACGGAGAGGGAGGGGGATAGCAAAGTAATCTCTAAGAACATTTCTAATAGCAACAGAAATAACCAGTTTTGTAATTTCCTTTCTTTTGGCAGACAAATCAAAAAGAACAGCCCTACATCCATTTGCAGCAACCAAGTTTTTCGTCAATAACTTGCCCCTTAGCTTGCGCGCTGCCATTGAGATCAGGTACGCTTATTTTATTGAGTCTTGCTAACGTGAAAATATTGCAGACGTTGGATGTGCTGCTGTTGTTGAAGATAAAACTGAGAGGGATAAAAGACAACTGCCAGCCAGTCCGCCAGCCATCCTGTCATCCAGCCAGACGATGATAGCTTGTAAAAGTATGACAAGTGGAAATTGCTGACTATGAATTTTCCACTTTATGATTACTTTTTTGTTGTTGTTGTTGATTTTCTTTTTGGGTGGGAGTAAACTAAGTGAATTTTTTCCATAGCTTACAGATGTTTTAAGTTAAGGCAATACATAGATGTACGTTCGCATCGAATGACGAGACTTGTCTCCCCCAGAAGGAATAACGGGGATATTGTAAAGTGATGATGTAGTTAGTTGCTGAGTGGATTTGCGTTTGAAGAAAACCCACTTTTTTTAATATTTATGTAGTATAGTTTATATTAAAATAAAAATGTAAGCAGTTTATATATTTGAAAAAAATCGGATAAATAGTTTGATAACAAAAAGGGTTTTAAGAAAAAAGTAGGATATGCCTTTAAAAAGTAAGTGGCATAAAGTCGATCTAGATGAAAAATATTTAGGAGATTTTCACAGAAATACAAAATTTATTCCTCATTGGAACGGGAGCCTCCTCGCCGCCTTGGTCCGTGACTCTTATAGTCCTATCAATAATGTATTTACAAAACCAGTAATGAATGTTTTAAAGCCGGGCGGGGCCGACTTTATGATACCCCACACCACTTTGCTAATTTAGTAGAGCTGCGCATAACAATTAAAAGTTTTATGGGAGAATTCAATCATACACGCTATGATTATAATTATAATTTAAAGTTCAAAGAACTAAATATGCCGAAGCATTTGTATCTTTTAAATTCGGACTTTTATTGCCCATTTGGTGCACAATTAATTTGAAATCGGATAAAAATGTATATGGGAGCTATAGCTATATCTGAACCGATCTCGATAAAATTAAGCAAATGTATTTTTGAGCTATATTTCATATATTTACCTGAATATCGTTGTTACGGAGTGCATATTACGGCTGCGGAGACAAAAAATAACAAATCGGATGAACAGTATATGTGGGAGCTATAGTTATGTCTGAACCAATCTTCACAAAATTTGACATACTAGCTTCTAGACTCAATTCGGTCGTAAGTGCCAAATTTCATCCAATTTGGGCAAATATTAGACGTTTGGTGCACAATAAAAATTAAATCAGACGAAGTTATATATGGGTGCTATATCCAAATCTGAACCGATCTCGATAAAATTTAGCAAATGTATTTTTGAGCTATATTTGATATATTTCCCCAAATATTGTTGTTACGGAGTGCATATTACGGCTGTGGAGGACAAAAATAATAAATCGGATGAACAATATATATATGGGAGCTATAGCTATATCTGAACCGATTTCGATCCAATTTAGCATGCTCATTTTCAGGTCCAATCTAATCTTACGTGCGAAATTTCATACTATTTGGACTGATATTACACGTTTGGTGCACAATAAAAGGCAAATCGGACGAAGATATATATGGGAGCTATATCTAAATTTTGACCGATTATCTCCAATTTCAATAGGGTTCGTCCTTGGGCCAAACAAATGATTTGTGCAAAATTTCATCTCAATCGGATAATAAATGCGACCTGCATTTTGTTCACAAAAATACATGGACAGACGGACGGACAGACGGACGGACGGACATGCATAAATCGACTCAGAATGTGATTCTATGCAGATTATCAAAAGGAACTATGGGTCTATCTCGTTTCCTTTTGCCTGTTACAAACAAATGCACAAAGACATAATACCCTGACCACCTTGTGGTGAAGGGTAAAAAAACATTAAGTTCGGCCAGTGGGTGGGCGAATATCGGTGGGTATTGCTGTATGTGAGATATAGGAAAACGTGGAACTAAATATTCAATATTCCCTACCGAGCTAGAACCTATTATAAACTAAAAATACCACTTTTTATCAAAATATCGAATATCGGCAGGTACCGTTATATGGGGGCTATACAAAAACGTGGGCCTATATATACAATGTTTCGCCACCGGAGCTAGAACCCCATATGACCTACAAATACCAATTTTCAGACAAATCCGTGAAAAATGTGACAAAAACGATCAAAATACCGAATATTGGGAGGAACCGATATATGGAGGCTATACCAAAACGTGGACCTATACATGCAATGTCTTGCCACACGGATTGGAACTCATTATGACCTATAACTACCAATTTTCGGAGAAATCCGTGAAATAATGTGGCAAAAATCATCAAAATACCGAATATCGGGAGGTGCCGGTATATGGGGACTACACCAAAACGTGGACCTATACATACAATGTTTCGCCACACGAACTAGGACCCATTATGACCCACAAATACCAATTTTCAGACAGTTCCGTGAAAAAATCATCAAAATACCGAATATCGGGAGGTACAGTTATATGGGGACTATACTAAAACATGGACCGATATATCTCATTTTCAATACCAACCATCCTAGACATAATACAAATTGTTTTGCTAAATTTTGGCACTCTACGTCAAATAATGTGGGCTGTATCGTGATTTCAACAGACAGACGGACATCGTTAAATCGACTTAGAATTTTATGCTGATTATGAACATATATACTTTATGGGATCTACGACGATATTTAGGGATGTTACAAACAGAATGACCAGGTTAATATACCTTCCTTTTCAAGGTGGAGGGTGTACAAATCCAAGATTTTGCTTTAATATTCTTTCACAATTCTCGATTATTGCTATGATTGTCCTTGAAAAAATTCCTTAAATACCTTAGTCGTGATTAAGGCTTTCAAAAATATTTTTGGAAAATCCACATAATTATGGCTCTGATGGCCCTTGAAAAAAAAAAATATTCTTTAAGATCCAAGATTAAGGCTTTAATGACGATATTAAAAAAAGATTATGGCTCTGATGGTAATATTTGAAAAAAAATCTATTTGTCTTTGATAAAAATTAATAAGTCCTCGATTGAGGCCCTAGTAGTCCTTAAAAAATATTTTAAAAAACCCTTGAAATTTTTTTTTGAAAATTTAACGACTATGCCCTTAACAGTCCTTGAAAAAATATATAAAAATGCCCGTTAATACTTAAAAAATATATATTTTTTTTAAATCCACGTTTATAAAATATAAAAATGATTTTTTTTACATACGTTTATAGTTTTGATAGTTATTCCGAAAATATTCTCAAATAAATTGTTTTTATAGAGAGTTTGTATATTTGTGTATTATGAATTATTTTCGTATGTGTTGGTGGTTTTATAACAAATACGAACACACATTTTATTTGCATGCAAATTATAAATTTATTTATTTTTGTATGTCATGCACATGAGTTTGTATACACGTGTGGCTGTGCGGTGTATGTGTTTGTATGTATGTATAGATGTGTGAATCGATGAATCTTTAGCAATGGAATGAAGTAAACATATTCAGGTATTTTTGGAACTACCTTCAACGAGATGCAACTCAAACTCAACAGAACTTGACAATCATTTCTTCGTTCGAAACAAACAAATCTTACCGTAATTGATGTGAAAAGAGTGAGTATTGGTTTGGTGGTTGGTTGGATTGGTTGGTTGGTTGGTGTTGCTGATCTCTAATCTGTTCTCATCTCTCTCACACACACAAACACATACAGAGTGTGTGTTGACTCAGTATGTTGGAATTTGCATTTCAACATTTTATAAATCCAATATTGATTTTTGGGGTTCTTTTTTTAATTAATTTTGTTTGATTGGTTGGTGAGGTTGCTGGTGATTGTTTTTTAGTTTTTTTTTTTTTCAAAAAGATATTCAAAGTGCAGTTTGGTTGTGTTTGAAGAAGAAGAAGAAATTTGTTGTGGTAGTGGTGGTGTTAATAATTGATGGAGTGCGTGCTTAATTGGTATTTTCTCGTGATTGATTGATTGATTGATTGACTGACTGTTTGTTTGATAGACTCAAGTCAAGTGTCAAAAGTTGTTGTTTTGCCAGATTTCGTTTCATTTGCAGGTTTTTTGATTTGTTTGGTTTGGTTTGGTTTAACTTTATTTATAATTAATTCATTCTTGTTTTGTTTTTGTTTATTTTTATATCGTGCATATCGAGGAGTTTATTTTCGATTTAGATCAGATTCTCGTTTATTGATTTGATTTGATTATTGTGGTAAGTAATATCGATTGTTAGCATTCCAAGTGTGTGGTGTATCAATACTTTGATAGTGTGACACCGATATTGAGGCTAATTGGAAAAGAATTCATAAGAAAATATAGGAAAAAATAAATAAAATATTTTTTTTTAGATAGTCATAGGCAAAGTGATGCAGTGTTACGAAAGAGGAAAATAAATAGTTATTTTTCGTTGCTTTTGGAAAAGTAGATAGATTAGAGTGACAGGAGGATAGTGATATTTAATAGACATTTTTATTTATTTATTTATTTAGATTTTCTAAGTTTTATGCATAAAAAAAGCTTTAAGCCTTGCCATTTTCTTTTACACTTTACACAGACAGATTAGATTAGCAATCGCTTGCATTTCGTTTGCCATACGATAACATTGAAAACGGAATGGTATTTGTTCAACTTACGTCTTGAGCCCATACGTTTGACCGTCTGTTCGGTACCTAAACTCATGGCCCGGCCGACGGCCTTCAACGATTTCAATATCTCCTCGGGGTCACGGCGTGCCACCGACGACCGACGACGACCCACCAAATAGGTGGCAGGAGGTGGAGCCATATCATCTTCTCGATTCTTGTCAGCATCCTGAAATGATGAGCGTCGAGATCCAGGCAATGATCTCGAAAAATCTTTGCCCAACTGATAGACTTCCACTTCCAGTGTCTCCGATTGCGATGAACCACGTCGCGAGCCGGCAATCCAGGCATGATCCGGATGCAACAGCGACGTACACTCACCAATCGAATCCACATCATCCGAAATGGAACGTTGCATATTGTAATCTCGGCGCAGCAGACGTGAGACATCGCCGCCGGGACCGCCCGCAGCGATGGAGCCGCGCGGTGATACACTGGGCGATTTCGACATGCTAATGCCGCGCAAACCTTTTGGATCTTCGAGACGACACCAAATGGCACGATCGTCCAGAAATACCTGTTGCAACTCAATATTGCACTCGCCCAAGAATATGGACTCAGTGTGGGGTACCAGATCCCACAGTTGTATATCAATGTAACGATCCATGAGGTGTTCGGCTTTAACGTGAGCAAACGATAGCGTTGCATTCCATATGGGGTTCTGGGTCGGTGGACTGACTTCGGTTTGTTGGACCGAACCATCGCCGCTGTGGGAAAAATAAAACAAATTTTGAGAAATGATGTTAAAAACGGAATTTTGGATATTTGATGACATTTATAAAAAAATAAAATAAACATTCTTAGAAAAATTAAAGATTGCATATCTGATAGTATTTTAAACAATCCTAAAACATCCGTGATTATACATCAGAAGGTCCTTGAAAAAAGATTTAAAAAAATCGCAATTTTACGTTTGAAGGTCCTTGAAAACAATTTCTTTAAAAATCCACGATAATTGGTCTGAGAGTCCTTGAAATAATATTCTTTAAGAATCCACGATTGTTGGTCTGAGAGTCCTTCGCAAAATATTTTTAAAAAATTCACTTTAATTGGTCTGAAAGTCCTTGACAATTAAGGATTATTGCTGTGATAGTCCTAACAAATCTTAGAAATCAAAAATTATTGCAATCCTTAGGAAAATCTTAAAAATCAAGGATAATTGCTTTGATAGTCCTTGAAAAAATATGATTTAAAAACCAAGGATTACGGCATTGATAGTCTTTGAGAAAAGGATTTTTGCTTTGACAGTCCTTAAAAAATTTAAAAAATAAAAAAATATGCTTTGATAATTCTTAAAAAAATCTTGAAAATAAAGAATTATTGCTTCGATAGTCCTTTTATTGTTTTGATAGTATTTAAAAATGAGTCCTTAAAAAATCTTAAAAATCATAGATTATTACTTTCATTAACCTTAAAAATTCGACTTGCTTTAGTAGTCCTTGCAAAAATATCCTTAAAAATCAAGGATTATTACTTTGATAGTCCTTGAAAAAATATCCTCAAAAATTAAGAATTATTACTTTGATAGTATTGAAAATCTTAAAAATCAAGGATTATTGCTTTGAAAAAAATCCTTCAAAATCCAGGATAATGACTTTTTTAGTCCTTAAAAAATCTTAAATGTCAAGGATTATTACTTTGATAGCTCTTAAACAATTCTTAAAAATTAAGGATTATTTTTTTGAAAGTCCTTGAAGAAATATTCCTAAAAATCAAGGATTATTTCTTCAATAGCCGTAAAAAAATCTTAAAAATTCACTTTTTTGGTCTGATAGTCCTTGAAAATATAGTATTCAATAATAAACGTTTAATGGCTTGAGAGTCCTTGAAAAATATTCTTTAAAAAATCCACGTTTATTGGCCTGAAAGCCCTTGAAAATATAGTATTCAATAATCGACGATTAATGGCTTGAGAGTCCTTAAAAAATATACTTTAAAAGATCCACGTTTATTGGCCTGAAAGCCCTTGAAAATATAGTATTCAATAATAGACGATTCATTTCTTGAGTGTCCTTGAAAAATATTCTTTAAAAAATTCACGTTTATTGGCCTGAAAGTCCTTGAAAATATAGTATTTAATAATAGACGATTAATGTCTTGAGTGTCCTTGAAAAATGTTCCTTAAAAAGTCCACTTTTATTGGTCAGAGAGTCCTTGGAAAATATTCTTTAAAAAATTCACGTTTATTGGCCTGAAAGCCCTTGAAAATATAGTATTCAATAATAGACAATTCATTTCTTGAGTGTCCTTGAAAAATATTCTTTAAAAAATCCACGTTTATTGGCCTGAAAGCCCTTGAAAATATAGTATTTAATAATAGACGATTAATGTCTTGAGTGTCCTTGAAAAATGTTCCTTAAAAAGTCCACTTTTATTGGTCTGTTGGTCCTTGAAAAATATTCTTTAAAAAATCCACGTTTATTAGTCTGTTGGTCCTTGAAAAATATTCTTTAAAAAATCCACGTTTATTGGTCTGAGAGTCCTTGAAAAATCTTTTTTTTGGAAAAATCCACGTTTATTGGTCTCGGAGTCCTTGAAAAATCTTTTTTGGAAACATCCACATTATTTGTCTGAGAGTCCTAGAAAAATCTATTTTGGAAAAATCCACGTTTATTGGTCTGAGAGTCCTTGAAAAATATTCTTTAAAAAATCCACGTTTATTGTTTAGATAATCCTTGAAAAATATTCTTTAAAAAATCCACGTTTATTGTTTAGATAATCCTTGAAAAATATTCTTTAAAAAATCCACGTTTACTGTTTAGATAATCCTTAAAAAAATATTATTTAAAAAATCCGCGTTTATTGGTCTGACATTATCAAAATATTCTTCAAAAATCCGCGATCCTTAAAAATATTCTTACAAAATCCTGGACTATTTCTTAATCTCTCTCTCTCTCTCTCTCTCTCTCTTCTCCTTTCGACTACTTACCATTTTGGTAAAATTCGAACTTTTGCATAGGCTTCTGGCAAATTTCCATGCCCGTAGGCTTCATCACGTAATGCCAAATCATCGGCTGCCATCAAGGATACGGCCAATTCACTGCGTTCACTGTGATACCAAACTTGGATTTGGACACGTCCACTAACCAGTTTTTCTCGAGCAATTTGCTCCTATGCAGAGTTTGTCACAAAGTAAACCATAAAACCGAAAAGATTTTGCCACAGAAAAAAAAAATGAAGGATAAAGAAAGAATTCAATTAGCAAACATTTTAGTTTTGAGGAAGTTGCAAAAAGAAGTAAATTGTATAAAACTTATGTTACAACTACACACTATTTAAGTACTTAGTCAAGTATAATTGTACAGCTTTACTTTTGGTAATTTTTTTTTTGTTTGGTTTTCATTTTTTTTTTTTTTTTTGGTGGGAGGAGAGGGGATTATAACTATGTCATTTTGTTACTTCTTTTTATGGGATTTTACTTGTTTTTGTCCTGTCCATTGTTTTTGGACAATTATTTTTTTTGCGGTTGAGACTTCTGAATGTTTGTTGTTGTTTTTTTTTTTTTTTCAACATAAAAAATAACAAATTAAAATGTATTTACATTAACATAATTAAAAGAAGAGGTAAAGAAAAAAAAAACAACGAAGCAACTAAAAATAACATCTGTGTAAATTGCATAAATGTCATTGTGTGGGTTTTTCATGTTATTTATATACACTGAAATGATGGGGAATTCTGGATATGTATTGTTCAGTTCTAACAACAATTATAATATTTATTGCCTACATTTAACGAATAGAAATATGAATAATTTATATACATTAAATAGGTTTTTTTAATTGAATACAAATACATTTGTTTGTCATAAAACTTAAATAGTAAATATATTATTTTAAGTTAAGTAATGAGTAAATGGGAAATAAATGTCAAACTTGCTTATTTATATGGGATAAATATATAAAATCCTTCTCAGAAAATTCTTTTATTCAAGTGAAAATTGGTGAAATATACATTAATAGCGGCATGAACCAAAGTAGTACAATTTACAACCCAAATTTTCCTCGAAAAAAAGGATTCTCTTAAAAAAGTCGATTTGATATTTTCCCTTAGACTTAAAAACGGAGTTATCGGTGTGCTCTGCACATTAGGGAATACACAGTGTCCACATGAAAATGCCGGTATTAGGTGAGTATAGAAATAGTCCAAATGAATTTTAGCTTCTCATGCCAAACTCTTCTTTTGCTCTTTATATATGTACATATGAAATTTGGATCAAAAATAAATGGACCCCAATATTTTAAACTCAATTGATTCGCAAAGTTTTCTAAAAAATGCCTGCTAAATTTCCAATATTATTGGCCTCAGCCCTGACTGTACTGGAAAATATATTCTTAAAAGTCCTTGAACAAATATCCCTAGAAAACCCACGAAAATATGTTATAAAAATTTGAATATTTGAAAAAATTCAATTCTTTAAACTCAGGTTTATTGGTGCATAGTCCTTTCAAAATAATTAAACAAAATTGATGCTACTCCTTGAAAATATCTTTCGATAAACTCCACGGTAGTGTTTAAAAAATATTTATAAAAAATGAATGATTAATGGTCTGATAGTCCTTGAAAAAATATCCTTATAAAACCACAATTATTTGTCTGATAGCCATTGAAGAAATAGTCGTATATAAATCACGAGTATTGATTTAGGCCTTATCGGAAAAATTCTTTAAAAAACGTTATTTGAGGGTGAATATCTGTCGACAATACCCAAAGAAAATTTTTAGCTTGTTTTCAATTGTTTTGACAAAATTATCAGCATTTAATACCAGTTTGTATGCTTCTAACAACCATACCAAATATGAGACTTCATTTGTGGGAATACCCTGCGTATGAACGACATATGCATGCTATTAAGATATTATGTATACGCCATATATTTCACATTTCTATACCCTCAGCCATATGGCAATAGAGGGTATATATCATTTATTACGGTCAAAGCGTGTCTAGTCGAAATAACGGTTTTAGTCCCTAGGTCTCTTTGGACCAAATCCGTGTCAGGTGTCAGAACATTTGGAGTCGATGGCTAGATGAAACGACGCCGTCTGTCTGTCTGTCTGTCTGTCTGTCTGTCTGGGTGGCTGGTGTGCACGACATCTCTCGAAGGGAGTATCCGGTATGGTCCAAACTTGGTACATCGTAATATTTTTGTCAATATTAGACCGAGTTCGGAGATGGGCAATATCGGTGCTTTCCTTCTGGTACCTCCCCTACAAAAGGTCGGAATTTTCAAAAAATATAATTTCTGCACAGAAAGAAAAAAGATAATCCGATTTAGCTCCAACTTTGCAAATCTTAATATTTGCGTTAGTTCTAGGTTAGGTGTGAAAATGGACAATATCGGTCCACTCCATCAAGTACCTCCCCCAGAAATACTCAATACTTTAAATAATTACAACGCTCATAAAATGTGATTTAAGAGTCCGATTGTCTTCAAATTCCACACATCCCAAAATTTATATTAACCCATGGTCTGGTGTTAAGATGTAATATATCGGTGGACTCCTTCTGGTACCTACTCCACACGAGGTCAAAATTTTCAAAAAAAAAAAAAAAAAAAAAAAAATCTGCACAGAAAGAGAAAGGATAATCCGATTTTGCTGCAACTTTACAAATCCTAATATTTGCGTCAGTGCTAGGTCAGGTGCGAAAATGGACAATATCGGTCCACTCCTTCTAGTACCTTCCCCACAAAGGCTCAAGTTTTTGAATATACATGAAGCTCATAAAAAGCGAAATCAACATCCGATTCCATTCCAGACATGGTACATCTCAATATTTCCATCAACACAAGATCTATTATAAAGGTGGTAGAGATCGGACCATTTCTTTTGCTGACTGCTCCACATAGGGTGCAAGATTTTGAAAGACAAAACGCTCAAAGAATGCGAAATAGGCATCAAACTCTCATTAAATTTCACACATACAGACATTTTTGCCTACACAAGATCGGAAGATCTGCATACCCCTTCTGGTACCTCACTTAAAAAGGGACACAATTTTCAATATTTGTATCTGTCATAAATTGCGAAACAACTCAGCGACTCTTTACAACTTGTACTTGTTTTATATATTTATATCATATTTATTTAGGCCCGGTACGAAATTGACAATATTGACCTATTCTTTTTGAAACCCAATAATTGAACATTGGCTGAGGGTATACATCTGCCAGCAAAACCGACCGATACTTTGTTACTTGTTTTTAAAATATTTTTACATCATTAATTTTAAAACTTTTTTTTAGTGTAAAACACTGATAACTACCTGTATTCGATGAAATGATCACTTTTAATGAGAAAAAAAACTAAATTATTGCACTTCAAAAAAAACAATGATCATTTTTTTCTTCTTCTTGCGAAAATGTGAAATATTCTTCAATTTTGCCACTGTGTAGTTAGAAAACTAAACAACGTATGATTTTGACATTTTCGGTACTGAAATAGAATTTAGTGTACTATAATAGTTTAAAAACATTTATTCCAAAAGACGAATTTTAATTTTCAATTAATCTCCGTGTTTTGTGATTTCACCCCTCTGTGCAAAGTTTCCTTACAAAACATGAAAAGCAGTACAAGTTTTTATTTGGGAATCCCCTGCGTATGAGCGATTAATCACATGGTTGCGATATTTTGCATACGCCCCATGTTCTACATTTTTACACCCTCCACCATAGTAAGGAGGGTATATTAAGTTTGTCATTCCGTTTGTAACACCTTAAAATGTACATTTTAGACCCCACAAAGTATATATATTCTTGATCAGCATAAAATTCTATGTCGATTTAACATTGTCCGTCCGTCTATCCGTCTGTGGAAATCACTCCAGCTTCCTAACGAAATGAAGTAAGTTGATAAAAATTTACTCAAATATGTATTATGTCTGCAGGACTTTTGATATTGAAAATGGGCCATGTTGGTCCACGTCTTCGTATAGCCCTCATATAACGGTACCTCCCGATGTGCGATATTTTGATGATTTTAGAGACATTATTTACCGGAATTATTTCAAAATTCGTATTTGAAGTTCGTAATGAATACTACAGCCTATGACAAAAAATTGTCTGTGCATTTCCTCGTTTTATAACCCCCATGGTACCTCCCTATATTAGGTATTTTGATGATTTTAGCTACATTATAAACAGATTTTTTTTTTTGAAGTTTCGCATTTGAATATTGTAATAACTTATGAAAAATGATGCCTATGCAGGCCCACGTCTTTGTATAGACTCTAATATACGCCTACATTCGGTATTTTTAGGATTTTATCACAATTTTAACGGATTTTATTTTTTTTGAAAATTGCCAAATTTGTAACAAATGGTGTGGGGTATTCAAAGATCGGCCCGGCCGAACTTTTTTATTTGTTATAGAGAGTATTGCAGTATTTAAATCCATCTAACATTTCTTTAGTTTATATATATTTATGAATGGAGGGTATTGTCGGAACATTAAACGGATACCCCAATACAATTTCTCTAGATGGCACATTCAATATTTGATGAAAGACCTTTGAATCTTCATACGATAAAATACGTTCCACATATTTAAAATCGGTGTATACTTCTAAATTTTATTTTTTTTAGATACAGTTAGCTAGTCTAATTGAAAGGGAGTTTTTAAAATAATTTATTTCCAACAAAAAGTTTAATAACTGTGTAAAGCATTCGATAATGTTTTTTTAATTGTAAACTAGTTAGTAAGTCATACATGACCGGAAGCCAAGAATATGTAGATACTAGGAATATTATGTTTAGTGTGAGGGGAATAACAAAACGAACATATCCAATAGCATGTGGTGGCTGATGCAAAAAGTTTTTTTGCAACCACTCAAGGAAATGGAAAATTATAAACCACAATATTGTAATGTCAAATATATGTACACACACATGTATAATGGTACATAGATATGTAAGTATGCCAATGTTTGTATGCCAGTTGTTATAATACACACCCTTCTATTCTACCATTGTGAGTATTTTTCAAAGTTTTCAATTTGTGTGATTGTAAAATTAACACTCTACACCGATAACTTCACATTATTAAAATGCGGGAATCAATGTTTAAATAAAGGTAATAGAAGAAGTTACAAAATATCTAACGGTATGACAAAGG